AGTAGTGCTAGCAAAGGCTCAAAGGGTTTATAGGATTGTGGGTAAACTAATCTACTATTTTTTGGCTTTTCTGGACTATAGGAAAAATTAAAAACAGCGAAGGATTCGAAGTCTCTCACCGATAAACCTTGCTCTGATACCAACTGATATGAACCCGCTAGGGTTGAATCCCGATCTTTCGATGAGAGAAGGTGGATAACTCGATTTGGGGATGGAGATAACGTTCATGGCCCGACTACAACCATCCAAGGATGTTGCGCCTTAGCAACCGATACACCACCTCCAATGGCCGTCGCGATCTTGTGGAGCACGATCAGCCAAACCACTAGGGTAATTCCTGCAAGCAATCGAGGAACAAGCAAGAACCAGTAGAACAAGCAACTCAATTGCAAATATGGAGATGAAAAACCAATTCAAGTCACAAAGTTGGGGTTCTAAATCGAGTAGAATGGATGGTCCAGTCGACACACGCGTCTACAAGGAAGTAGCAATGGCTAAACTTTCAACAAAACAAAACTCAATCTGTTTGTGGCGGCTCTAATCCTTATTAATACATAGGGGAATGACCAGGGGGTGTTGGGGTCATTCTCCAACCCTAGGACGCGTCCCTAATGGACCCAACTTGATACATGGGTCATCGGCCCAAAATAGGGTGACGCAGCACCAAAGGCAGAAAAGGTCCCGGCGTTGAAACGACGACTGCAGAAGCATTGGATAAGATATGGCTATGAGTCTAGATCCGTTGGAAAATAGACTTGATAAGCTTTCCAAAAAGTGCTAGAACGTCCCAATCGGAGTCCGTATGAAGTCGTGGCGACCGTCGCAATTTGGGACTATTTTGTAGTCCGAATTCAACTTCCAAAACGTGTTGTACTTGGACTCTTTCTGTCCTTGGAACCAAAGCGACGTGGTGGCCTAGTGGAGGACGTTAGGAATACTTGGATTTGGTCCCCAATCAACTTCATTAACCTTCCATGCTTTCCATATGCAATCAAACCTTCCCTTAATCCATGTAAGTAATTCTGAAAATGAGAATGAACACACATCATGGTGCAGCATCAATTCATCAAATATATCAAATACAATCATGATAAAGAATTATTTCACCTGCGAATCAAAAGTTGCCAATGTGGTTATATCCGAGCAGGTGATGTCCTCATCAGGGGTTCCGTCTCGTCTGACGGAGACCCATACCGCCGCCAACCACTCCAAGTCCAAGCGTTTGGGCCTGGGTCAAAACTCTGACGCTACGGAAGAGGCTGGCACGCCTTGATGTAACCCGTGGCCATAACGGGCCATACATAGGGATTCACATCAAGAACAGTGTCGGGCGTGCCGGTGCTGTTCTATCTAATCCTCGTACAGACGCTGACAGGCGCGTCAGTTCACCACGACGTCCGTCGGGACGGAGGGGAATGCCATGACCGGCAGATGACGCCTGCGCATGGCGCCAGTGGTGAACCGGGCCGCGACATGGAGCCATCCCTGTTGACATCTACAGTATCGGCGGGACCCGCATGAAGGAGAAGAACGACCCAGCAACACTAAAAGCCTTCTTCTCTCTCGTTCTTCTCATTTTCCTCATATGTAACCCGCGCTTTTCCTTCGCCTATAAAAGGGGAAGCAGGGCGCCCCGTGAGGAGGGATGTTGACACAAGAGCAGACACGAGCATACGGCGGAGCAGCAAGCGAGCTCTCAGCATCCGTTCACTCCTTCCACCAGAGACTTGGGATCCTCTCTCTCTCGCCTGTTTGTAACCCCTACTGCAAATTAAGTGCCGGTAACATGAGCAGCAGCGAACTGGACGTAAGGACGTTCCGCTCGAACTAGTATAAACCATTGTGTCCTCCGAGCACACCATCCGAGTTAGACGCGCAAATATAAATTTACTCGCCGGTGATTCAAAAACACCGACAACACCTATTGTTAGTTTAAGAAAAATTGAAGAGATCACACGCTCGTACGTTAGCTGTGATGGTCATGACATGAGTGATACAAAACCAACAATGGTCATGCGACTCCAAACTTAAAGTAACAAGGCCAGAAGTGAGCGACCTGAGACTAACAAATGGATGACCCTTGGAGACGAAAAAAATTCAATATTTAATATTAGGTATAGAACTTATTTTTTATCCTCTTTCTTTATTCTGAAGTTATTTTCTTTTCCTGTCAGATGATGTTGGCGGCATGCTAGAAGTTGAAGAATGCGGTTAAGTATTTATTCGTGTCATTTAGATGGTCTTATTTTGAAATTGAGTAACGATTTAGACTATAAACTTGGTTGAGATATTGTGGTGTGAACTTTATAATAAAGTAGTCTGTTCTCTCTAGCCCGTTCGCTTGGAGGAATCTGGATGAATCTGGAGAAATTTGTGAGAGGAAATCAGCCATAAACCGTAACTTTCAGCCGTGAACAGTAAAATTTTGGCACCAGCCGAACGGGGCCTCTGTGCAAAGGATATTTCTTTTCTTATTAAAAAACACATACGCGTAGTATCCAAAGTAGTGTTATTGTTGCTCCTAATACGGCTCTACAGCTTCTACAGCTAGAACATGCTTCTTGGCAGATGATACGGGAGCCAAACTCTATTCATCTATGTCGGGATACTATTCTTTAATTAAGGAATAAGCATTCCGGACTTCCGGTCTCCCACACTCATGAGTGAATGGGTGTAATCGATCAATACAAACTTGAACAAACTTAGGTCAAACGACCACTTTCCGCCAAGTGGAGCACACAAACCACCAAAACAAAACAACTTCCACTCTAGTCAGAACAGATCACACATCCTGCACCCTCTATTATGTGCCAATTATTATAGAAAGATGAGAATTTTACTGGGGGCTCCATGTGCCCACCCTTTATATATGACCATCGAACTATCAAAATCGTTCTACATTTAGCCATCTAGCAGATTTGAAAGTGTTTTTCACTGGTATGGGCAACATGTGGCAGTGAGCTCACTTGTCTCTCTTCTCTTCCTTCCCTCCTCTCGGTTTTCTATCTTGCTCTTGGACACCCTATCGTCACCATCTCCTAGTGGACTTCACCAAGGAATGCTAGAATAGAAAAGACAGACACAATGATGACACGATATGCCTTGGTAGACCACAACCAAGGATGAGGAGCATGAGGACCCTATAGTGGGCCACAGGCTGCATTGGCCTTAGCCGAGGACGACGAGCATGAAAGACCTAATGGTTTCTATTGCCATTTGTTGCCCATGCTAAAGAAAACCACCTTCAAATCTCTCAGATGGTCAAATGCCAATGATTTTGGTACTTGAGTGGTCAAAGATTCTGTGTTTCTTTAGTGTAGGAACTCTATATATTTAGTGTTTAGTGTAGGAACTCTACATTTTAGTTAAAAGAGGAAATATATTGTAGGTTGGTTTTTGGATTTGGTAGTCGAATTTGGCCCCGTTTGGCACGGTTTCACTTCACCCGTGAAGCCGTTTTTTTGCTTCAGCTCCATGAACAACTCTATCCGTGGAGCCGGAGCCGTTTTGGTAAATCGTTTATCAAAACAGCTCCACATATAGAGTTCCTTAAAATATGCTTTCACAGACCGCCACGTAAGATGAGGTGAAACCGGAAGAAGTCACTATTTTTGACTGCTTCCCACCACAAGGCTCTATGAGAGCACGTTTTTAGAGGGCTTCATCGGTGGAGCCGTTTCATTTTATCCCGTTTGACAAAAAAAAATACGGCTGCTGAAGCCGTTGAAGAAGCCCTATCAAAAAGGGCCAAAGTTGTTTTTAAAGCATCTCATCGAGATATAACTATAGCATATGTTTATGTACATGAACACACGCTACTCACGCACACCCCATAACTAAACCTACAACTATATACACAAATTAGAAACTAAGAGGTCGTTCATAAGAGCACCGGGATCCTATCAAAAAGGGCCAAAGTTGTTTTTTAAAGCATCTCATCTAGATATAACTGTAGCATATGTTTATGTAAATGAACACACATGCTACTCACGCACACCCCATAACTAAACCTACAACTATATACACAAATTAGAAACTAAGAGCTCGTTGGTAAGAGCACCGGATCATCCATGACTCTACACGGGAGACACTGCAAAGTATATTATATATTTATTGAGAATAAAACCCGATAAAAGACAGAGTCTAATTCTGAGAATTGAACTCGTGCCGGCAGAGAGCACACCTGGCTATGCTAGCCACCCGAGCACTAGCTCGGTTCTCAGTCGAGAATGAACTTTGATGATAGTTCAATGGTTGAAAAATACATCTTTCTTTTTATAATCAATAATCAATTATTGTAATAATCCGGTCAAATATGAACAGAGCTAAGCGACTTACCGGATTCGAGAAAAGACCAAGTAGAGCAAAGGTCGGGTTTAGGTTGGTCATGGGCTCATGGCAAATTCCGCACTGGATTGGATCCGATCAGCTACTGTCCCGTCGAGCATCCGTGAGTCGTGACCGTGATAGTATAGGACAAGGCTGGTCGCTCCAGGATCGCGTGAATCTGGAACCGGTGCACTCGTCGCCGTCCGCGGTCGGCGCGTGGCTCTCTCCCTGCCGGCTGCGCTGCACAGACGTCGTGCTCTCGTGCCACGTACTATTACTAGGCCCAAGCAAAACAACAAAAAATTCGTCACGCTCGCTCCGCGCCTCACCTCCGCGGCTCCGCCGTCCAACGCCCATCCAATCGCGTGCGTCCATCTCCGCCAGCACCGCCAGCCTAAAATCCGGGTCTCTGGCGGCCGAGACACCTACCTGAGAATCCCCGCACGGGTCTCGAATTAATATTTTTGCGTCCTATTTTCTATATTTTCTCCTGCCCTCCTCTGCTCTCCTCCCCGACGAAGGCGACGAGCGAGCGCAGAAAAAAAAAGACAAGAGAATTAAATAAAAATATATAAAAAGGACAACGTGAAATACCCTAGGCCGCGATCTCGGCGGCGCGGCGCGGCGCGTCGGCGATCGGCGGGGGTGGCCCCGCCGCCGCCGCCGACGTCATGCTGGGGCGGCGCGGGGAGATGGGGTTCGAGGAGGGCGAGCTCGAGCTGGAGGAGGGCGAGGCGGCCTCCGCCGGCGGCGGCGGCCGCGAGCTGGTTGTACCCGACGCGCTCGCCTACATCGTAAGAACGTTCTCTGATCCCTTCCTCTTCTATTTTTTTTTGTTCCGTCTGATTATTATTATTAATTGTCGCAGCGTTGCGATTGTTTTTTGTTTTCTTTTGCGTTACGCTTATTGTGATATATAAGTACTTGGTAGCAATGCTGCAGGGATTTAGGTCGATTTTGCAGTGTATTTGAGGTCATCACTGATTGGCATGAATGCGTGATTGTTTTTTCAATCTGACATAAATGCTGTGTGAAGGGAGGGTTCGGATTTGGCTAACCTGTTAGTTTTACCTGGCAATGTATTGGAGCTGACGTGACAATGCAAGACTAGTTCGTAGTTACTTCTGCAATCCTCGAGTCGTAGTACTAGTTTACAGCGATTTATGGTACCCCTTGGGTTAATTACGAAGCCTTCTTAATTTCAGGGCTAGATTTAGCAGGTCGCTGGGACAAGTTAGCTGGTGATTGGTGGTAGTATGGTTTGTACGGTTGGTTCACGTGCACATCTTCAGTTTCATTTGCTTTTGTCGATTTTGCAGTGTATTTGAGCTTATCATGAATTGGCATGAATGCATGATTGTTTTTTTTTCAATCAAACATAAATGCTGTGTGAAGGGGGGGTTTACGATTCTGCCAGTTAATTGCTGGCCTCTGTGGGGGGATTCGGATTTGGCTAACCTGTTAGCGTTACCTGGCAATGTATCGGAGCCGGCATGAGAATGCAAGACTAGTTCGTAGTTACTTCTGGAATCCTCGAGTAGTAGTACTAGTTTACAACGATTCTGGTACCTCTTGGGTGAATTAAGAAGCCTTCTGAGTTTCAGTGCTAGATTTAGAAGGTCACTGGGACAAGTTAGCTGGTGATTGGCAGTACTATGGTTTCTACGGTTGGTTCACGTGCACATTTTCAGTTTCATTTGCTTTTGGCTGGTTGTCCGTTACCTGGCCTGCTTGGTGAAAACTCTGCTATGTTATCATGGATATGTATGAACAGGACGGAGTGATCAACTTCCTAGTTGGTGTTATTGTTAACAAGGACAAGACTTATTGTGCATACCTCATACTTTTTTTTTGGGTGGGGGATTACATTTGACCTTGTGATATCAGATTTCGTAGATCATTATCCACATTCCTAATTGGGCAATAGAAGCAATGTGCAATTAAGTTTTTAGTAGAGCAAAAAGTTTTCAGTTTCCCTGTTCTTGTCTGCTAATTCCAAAAAGAAGTTTCTTTTGTAGTTTTTATTTGGAAAGCACCATTTGGTGCGGCCTTCACAGGAGGCCAGGTGCGGGACGGGGGATCGAACCCCCGCCGTCTGGCTCCTCCCGTGGAGCCTTCACCACTGGGACACACGCCCATCCGCTAGTTTTTCGATTATTCGATGCATGCATATGGAGCTCATGCTCCAAAATATACCCCTATAACTATGTTAACTTTAATGATACCATAATCACCTTAGTTACATAGTTCTGTATGACTAATGGGGGATATTTGACTAAAACTTGAAGTAGTTTGCTATTTTATTTTTCTAATTGTAAACTGTATGAATTTTTATTCCATGATGTGGGGACCAATGAACTGATAGTATTAGTTGAAAGTTGTATATGCTGAAGGAAAAATAACCATGTATTTTGGTAGGCCCTTGTACTTTACAATTTATAGGTTGGACACAAATCAATTTCTGCTGTCGAGATCAGTGCCTAGAGGCAATGTATAGACACAATTTTTCTCTTATACTCTGATTTTTTCTTTGGAATTTATTTATTCATATTTTCAACTCATTTTTCTTTTTTTGACTGATGTGGGACTTTCTAGCTTTTTAGCTCAATAGGATTTGTGTGGGGGACACTACTACAACAAAAGAGTCACTAGTTCAAGCTAGTTGGGTCAGGCTAATTGAAACCCAACAAGACAACATCCATGTAAACCTAAGAGGAATAAAGAAAGAAAACTATTGCAATAAAACAAAATAGTGATACTAAAAAGTTGTAATGGTTTTTGATTTCTAATTTCCATATGTCTATCCAAACACTACTATTATGGTGTACAAAGATTAATATTTTTTCATTTGGAATGCAATATTATATGGTATGTTCTTTCTTATTCTGGAATTTGATTCATCATTGATAACTATTGGTACATTGACATTTCTTACTTTATTGTGCTGCTTCATGTTCCTGTGTCCAAGTGAAGTGTTTTGGGTTAAAAATACCATGTAGTCAACAGTTTACAGTTCACAAGTGGATTTTGAGTCCAGCTTTCAGTTCTTAAGAGTGAGGGAGTTGATTGTACATCTAAGTTACGTGGGGAGGTAACTCATACAGGTTTGTTTGGATTCAAGGGATTTAATATATTTGTTATATGATACTTCTGGTGTTACCTCAATAACTATGTAAGTGATAATGGGTATTTTGAGGGATGAATTATTCCTTCTAGGCTTATGCTTCACTGCTTCTATTGATAGTGCATTTAACTTTGTTGCTCCATACCTATCTATACTTCAAGAAACTGCTTTGTCCTTTTACATACATGCTTTATCTTTTTAGTATACACTCTCATAGTACAGTTTCATCCTTCTGGATGTTCAGCCTTTAAACTTTTACTTATAACTATGTTCCTTGCGCTAAAAGACTAAAGCATGTTGTATTATTTACAGGATGAAAGAATTCAAAATGTGTTGGGTCATTTACGCAAGAAATTTGAAGGTGAAATAACTCATACGAATTTGGGTAAGAGGAGTAAAAATTGCCAACCTGTTCGCTCTTTAGAGTTATTGATGTTGTATTGGCTTACGTGAAAAATCGTTCACACTACATATAGGTTCGATGTATGGATGCCATGGTTCGTTCTTGCCAACATACCCACGTTCCCCTTTGGGCTTTCCTCAATATAGGAACACTGCAGATCCAAAAAACCATGGCAGTGCCTCTAGATCACCTTATCTGCCAACAGAGGTACACTTTACAAAATTTTACATATATTGACTTACTAGGATTGCTGCCTACATGTGACAATATTACAATGTGCTTCCAGAATGCGCAAAAGAACCATTTTGTTAAGACCGAATTAGACAGCAGCAGGAAAAATGACTACTGTCGAATATCCAATGAGAATGATGGCAATACTTCTCAACAGATGTTAAACAGAGCAGTCAATGGTTCTGAGCAGAAAGCACCGAAAATACGTATCAAGGTGAATAGCAATAAAAGTTCGCCAAGAAATACTGCTGCTATATATAGTGGCCTGGGCCTAGACATTTCCCCTTCATCATCTACAGAAGACAACCTAGATGAGACTGCTGGGGCTCTGGTGCCCGAAATTTTGCCTGATGAATCTCCACGTACCATATTTGAGGTTAAGTTTTACTCTGTCCGTGTTATTGTGGTAAAGCCTTGTACGATTGATTTTTTAAGAGTTAATGCATTGTGTTGTTTGAACAGATAATGACCTGCCATTTTATTCCTGGAGGACACTTGCTCTCACCCCTCACTGGAAATGTTCTAGAATTGAGACAAAAGCCTAAAGTGATGGTAAAACAAGAAGCACATGAATTTCAAGTCAAAGTAGAATTGCACGGAGACTTGGGCCATACAACCTCTGCTACTCTGGATAACAAAGATAAGTGTACCAAGGAAATAAAGTCTGATGGAAAGAAAGACAGTACTCCCAATTTCAAGAGTTCAAAATCCAGAGTTAACAAACCACCTGCTGTGAATAAGGGAACTAAGCCTTTACAGGATGTTTTAGATGATACTGGTTCAAACTTCTTACCTACAATTGTAAAGATAGAACATTCAGTCGAGGACTCAGCGAAATTTACAGGAGGGATTTCAGATAAAATGAAGGGATCGAAAAATGGTCCATCAAAAGGACACATTAGTGACAAGAACAAAAACAGTAAGGAAGAGCCTTCGCTTGATCATGGATTTTCTTGTAAAAACAAATGTGATTCTGATGAGTACAATGATCAACCTTGTGCCAGTTCAAGTCAGTTGCAAAACATTCCCAACAAAACTTCGTCACTGGAGAGGGACAGAGGAAAAGTATTGCATATGGAAGATGAACCATCTCAGTACAAAAGCAAGGAAAATGGAGGCCCTTTTAGTGCAGATTCCATGGCTGTCATGGTAGGAAATGTTGATAGAAATTCTTTAGGGATGATGAAAGGGAAGAAGAAGAAAGTTTCCTCTCCGCAAGCTGCCCTGTCTGGGAAGAAGCTCAAGTTCAAGACAAAGAAACAATTGAATGACAACATCGACAGAAAATCTTATGGTAAAGATGAGGATTATGCTTTAGACCATAGAATTGATTTGGCTAATTCATATCCAACAGATAAGAGTGTGAGGCTTGAGAAAAAGACCATCTCATCTGGGGAGATTGGTAACAAGTCAGATGTTGGAAATGACGGTGACCCCAATATCTCTGCGATGTTTGATGAGAAATCAGATCCTTTGCCATTAGTATATAGGAATGGGACTACGCAATCATCCACAACCCTTCCTTCTCCGGAACCCATTTTAATAAATGAACAATGGGTGTGCTGTGACAAGTGTGAGAATTGGCGCCTTTTACCCTATGGGATGAATCCAGATATACTTCCCAAAAAATGGCTGTGTAGCATGCAGAGTTGGCTGTAAGTTCATCCACTTTGTTCATATTTCAAGTATTGTTAAATGCTTTATTTGGTTTATAAGTGTTCTTATTTTGGTATTTGCAACTTATTGTAGGCCTGGAATGAATAGCTGCAAAATAACTGAAGACGAGACTACAACAGCCCTTCGGGCACTTTATATGGTTCCTGCACCTAAAAATAACATTAAGGATGGTGGTCATGATAATGCTATGTCAGGCATAGGCGCAGCTATTGCTCCAACTTTTCAGGGAAATATACAGCCCATCAGTTCACTGGGGAAGCTGAAAGGTTCCCTTGATGGAGCCAATGTGGCAAATACTTTGGAGTCAGCTGGTATGTCAAAGCCCTCAAAGAAGCTACATGCTCCTTCAAGTAGAAACTTCCCTAAACTGAAGGAAAAAAGGAAGCTAGTGGAATCATCAGATAAAGGTGCGCCACCTATAGTTTTGTTGAAGTTTACTAATACCATTCTGTTGTTTTGATTCTAATGGTTCACATTTCTGCAGGAGAAATTATTGGAAAAGATCAGTCACATCGAATGAGAAGCAGTGTAGGGGTTGATCATGATAACCTGAGGGCATCAAAGAAAATGAAGAAAGAATCCAATGGCCCTGTGATGAAGCATCAGCCCTCTGAGTTTGAAATAAGCAAATGTAGTCCTGCCAGTGAGACTCTGAAAAACATCCAGAAGCGCAGTGGTATTTCTCCTGGCATGGGAAAGTATGGTTTATCTTCATCAGGTAATCATTCTCATGGTGAAGATAAAGGTTTCTCAGATGTGGTCATTAAAACATCAGATACAGAGAACTCTGGCCCTCGAGACTCATCATCCATTAAGAAGAGAAAATTGAAACAAAGGCAGTCAAACCAGCATGATCTGGACCCACGCTGTAGCAATACTGACACAAATGGTATTACAAAACAAAATATTAGTGAAACTAATGCTGTGAAGAAAAAAACCAGGCCGGAACTGAAGTTGTCAAAGACAGATAGGACAGCTACCGATTCTAGAGGCACAGTTACTGGAGCTGATGATAGTATATCTACTGACAAAGAGTGTTTAAGTGAGCAATTTCAGGAAAATACCCATTTCCAGCATCCATCACTCTCAGAAGGCACCACAAAGAGGAAGATTGGTCATGCACAAACATCTACAGCTGCAACTTCGAGTTCATCCAAGATGTCTAACTCCCACAAGTATAAAGCTGATTTCCAGGAAACGAGGGCCTCCCCTGTAGAGTCAGTTTCTTCCTCACCCTTGAGATCTTCTGATAAGAATCCTTTAGGTCGACATAGAAGCTCTTCATGGACAGTTACAGAAAATGTGCAGTCTCAGGAGTCAGGGAAGAAAGGTTCTTCATGCTCCAACAGAAACTATGATCTTGGGTCTGATTGTGATAAAGCTAAGGCTCATATTTCTGGTTGCTTTAACGGAGACGTGGGTCATCATGTTCAGAAGGATAGGGACTTGCTGAAAGATAAACAAGACGTGATGAATGCATGCCTTATAAACAAAGGTTCTGGACTCGGTATTAGAAATGTCCAGTTGAATCCTGAACATAAAGTCAATCCAGATGTCCTCTCATCACATGACAACCATGGTCACAAGCAACCAACAGGTCGTCAGAATGGGAAAACACCGCTCCATTTCGGTTCAAACCAAGGTGACCATGCAAACTTGACTTATGGGAATATACCACATAAGGACCAGAAAACAAATCCATCTGCAGTCAAAGGAAGCAAGCAGCAGCCATCCTTAAGCAATGCATCAAATGGTGATGCCTCTTACAAGGCAAAGCAAATAGAAAAGGCTGTTATCGAAAATTTGGAAACTAGGAAGCAAGTAACTCTTAATGGTGATGCTTCAAATCTAACAAACGCATCTGTTCTACTGAAGGAAGCTCGAGATTTGAAGCACTTGTCTAAACGTCTTAAGGTTCGTTTGCGCAAAACATTTCTTATATTTTTACTGTTGTTCCCATTCAAATCCTCTCTTGTTGCAGGAAAAAGGGGATGACTTTGAGAGTACAAGCATGTGCTTTGAAGCGGGTCTGAAATTTCTCCATGTTGCTTCGCTGTGTGAGGCTCCAAATGTTGATAGCTCCAAACAAGGGGATTCTGTACAAGCTATGAAGCTGTATTCTGAAACAGGAAACCTCTGTGGGTAAGAACATCCTTCTGGTTTTATTTCTTTGAGATGAGATCTAGACAACAGTTGATTTATCATTCTTTTATTTATGATATTTGTGTCTATTAGACCAAGTTTCAACAGCATTTTTTTATTCTTGCAAGGAAAATTTATTATATTGGTTAATGACCATTTTATAAATGATGATTCTCTATAAAGAGAGCCTAGATTAGTTGTTTGATGGTGTGGATGCATGTTAGGTGCTTCTTTCTTATTAATGAAAAGTTTCCTAGTTCCTCCTGGCTGGTCTCTAAAAGAATAGATGCTTGTTTATGTGGTTATAGACTTCAGTATGTCAGAACTTTCATCCTTTGTAAGCCTTGGTTGATGATATTTCATAATTTAAGTTACATAATAAAGACTTTAATGTGCCTTGTCATTTGGTACTTGCGTTGCATGATTAACTAATCTCTTCCTGTTGGCTTTGTTGTATTCAACAGATTCTGCGCTCATGAATTTGAGCGACTCAAGAAAATGGCAAATGCTGCTTTGGCATATAAATGTGTGGAAGTGGCATATATGAAGGCTGCTTTCTTTAAAAGTCCTGGTGTAATTAAAGATAGGCATGCATTGCAGGCAGCATCCTTGATGGTTGCTCCAGGTTTTTGTTTTCACACATGCTTTGGCTCATGTATCAGAATTTGAATGTAGCAAGCCTATAAGGTCATTACAGCCTATTTTGTTTGAGGAATGTCCTTTAGGATGGGTTTGTCCATTATGAGAATATCCAATTGTTTTTATTGATTGATCTTATTATCCTTTTCGTCTGTAATGGGTCAGACCCATTCTCAAACCAAGCTGGATTTAGAATGATGAATTATTCAGTGAAACCTAAAAAATTGGGGATGCTGCAATTCTGAAGGATCTGATTTGTAGTATATGAAGTAGCATTGTTTCTTTCAAGATCTTGGCTTGAGAAGTAATATTTTTGCACTTCACTAATCACTAGTTTACAGCTTAGCATTGTGATGAAGTAAAAGAAGTTCTCTAATGATTCTAGCATTTCAACCTTACACAGATTTGGTAAATCTTGCATCAAATTTTCAATGCATCTCTTGCTCAGAGAGGTAGATGCCTAATCTACCTTTCAGATGCATGAAACAATGCAAGCCTTCATTTTATTTAGGGTGGCATCAATGCAATTAAGTTTATCTTGATTAAAATTCTGATTTTAAAAATTCTCCTTTTCTTTTTCTAGCGGAGTCTCCATCATCTTCTGCTTCAGACATCGATAATTTGAATAACCAGAGCACAGTTGCTAAGGCTGTTTCTGCAAGGGGTGTATACTCTCAGATTTCTAGCAACCCCATATCTCGGAACAATCATCACTTGATGGGATTGCTTTCTTATGTAAGTTCCTGATGTCATTTTCAGTTCTACCACTAAGTTGAACAATCATCTTGTTATTGAAATATGCTCCATACATTGTGAATATCAGAATGTGCAAAGTCTGTTCCACATCAGGCCTTGTTTTTTTTTTACTTTACTCACATATAGATCAACGGGCCGCCCCTTTTTAGATAGTTCACCTGTGCAATTGTTTGCATACACAGTTCTGCATGTCCTGTTTGTCATCTGTGGAGGCACTTGCTGCCCTTTTCCAATATATTAGAGGTTAGGGTAATAAGACCATGGAAGTTTAACCTAGTTTGGGCAGCAAACTTCCTCAAACATGGAGCATAATTGGCCTCTCTTTTGTAGTTTTTGTTTGCGCTTCTAATACTTCCCCACCTTCAGATGGCCCCCACCTATTAGTGATGCAAGTCTGGTTCAGATTTATAAAGTGTTGCCCTCAGTCACAAGAAAGTGACATCAAAATACTGCTCTAGCTATCAATTTTTGATGTACCATGTTAGTAAAATCTTCAATCTGTTTGTTGGATATTCATTTGTTAATTCAGGTGTTCACTAGGTATTTATTCCTCAATGGATAATCTACAATCAATGGCCCTTGATTCTGTATCGCAAGCTTGTTATGATTTCACATTTTCATGAAATGGTGCACACAACAGAGCTAAATGTATCTTCATATTGTGACCTGTGAGTAAGTATTCTAGTTTCTGAATGTTCTTTTCTTTTTACAGGCAGAGGACATAAATAATGCATTCGAGGGAACCAGAAAATCGCAAACTTCATTTTCAGCTTATCTTTCTGGTATTGGAAAGAATCAGGTGGATGGAGTTGCTCTTGTAAGGGAAGTACTTGATTTCAGTTTTCATAATGTCAAGGGATTGCTGCAACTGATTCGTCATTCGTTGGAGTCTATCAACCATGAAAGTGGTAAATAATCTAACAAGTATAGGTCTCTCTGAATAGAGATTTATGATGGCAAGGTTTCTTTGGCATTTTTGCTATACATTGGTACCTCCTCCAATCTGGATGTAGAAGTAAACAAGTTTGGAGAGTAATCGGTTGTGAGCGGAAAGGATTCACATTGCCTTCTCTTGGTTGCATGGAAGTATTATCTTGTGGGTGATCAATTTTGACCAGCGCCAAACTGCCAAAATAGGTTTCTTTACCAAGTCATATTGCTACTTTTGTTGCCCGGAAGTATTTCTTGTAGATGATGGTTTTGACTAGTGTCAAACTGGCAAAGGGGATTCTTACAAAGAATTAGCCTGCAAATGTTAATTGCTAAATCCAACATTCTCGGTTTCAATGTCTTGTGAGTGATCAAATCCAAGTCCTCAATGGGAATCTAATATACATCTGCCGTAGCGGTAAGAAATATTTGTGCAGTTATATTATGTTCTTTGGAATATTGCCCTGTTTTTACAGTCCTAATCTCTCAAGTGACTTTCTCATTTTGTGTTTGTTTCTTGACATGAAATTTCAGAAATGTTTTTCTAGAGAATATTTGTGTAGCCCTAATATCATGCACTAAGCAAATATCCTTTCCTAGATGTAGTCTCCTTTCAGATTAATTCCATTTCTAACAGATTTGCATTCCTTGAATGCAGTTCGAGGGCACAGTCTCAGTTTTCTTTCCAGGGCGCCAGTGTAAGCTTAGGTCAGCACTCTTGTTCTAAAGTCTCCACACCTTCTATTGGCCTTGTGGAGAAGGTTCTGACAGGCAAGACTGCACCATTTGCTTGTTTACAGTGTTTATCACTTTTGCTTTGTTTCAGTCGTGCACTCTGCATTAGTAAGGTTTGCAAGCACCCAGTTGGTGTTTTTGTTCTAGATATGAGTGAAGTAAATTAGGTGGTGAAGGATGAGGATAAAGTTCCTTTCCACGAAATGTGAGAATAGGGCACATGAAATTTCAATGGCATTCCATGCTGTGTTCAATTGATCAATTCACTGGTTAAAATTTGTTTTAAGCTGCCTTTAAAGGCTAGTGTAATGTAAGTCTTAATAAAATAGAAGGATACCCTGCACGTTGCAGCGGGACTTTAGAAATAAAGCTGTTAACTGTTATATGTATGCGCTGGACCTGCATGTTCTTGTATTGGTTCTGGTTAATGGGCAAGCTAGTGCGAAAGGGTCTCTAGCTGAGTTGGTTAGGTGGCTCGAGTACTCCTCCCGTGGGAGCGAATTTTCAGGATGGGATTAAAAAAAAACTCCTCGCCTATCCCACACCAAAGCACAGGTCTAAGGTCCGGCCCAGGTCGTGGTCGTTCTCACATGGGCTATGGTGCCGTTGTGTATGGGTGGGGCAGGGGTTCAGGGGTTTTCTTGACCTGTGTGAGGTCTTCATGTTAATGCAATGCCTAGGGGCCGTCTTACCCCCTGTAGGTCGAGTTTTTTTTAATGGGAAAGCTAGTGAAAGAATCCAATAAAATGCCTAATAGAATATTAGATCGAATTATAAGATGATGGAGCAGTAAAACGAATCTATGTCATGATGTGGATGCCTAGTATTATGATAGATTTAAAGTAATTGCACTTAGTGGGAGATGATGTGGATAACTTTTGTACTTGGTTGTGGATGATGTGGATAGTTTTAGTACTTAGTGGGGGATGACATGAATAGCTTTCATGAAGATATTGAAAGTTAGTGGGAGGACGATGTGGATAATTTGCATGTTGAGATCGAAAGAGAGTGGGGTTGCTTTTATAAGATATATGGATATGGATATAGAGATTAGTGTCATGACTCATGAACTGCAGAGGAAATGCATCTTACGGGTTTGGTCGATGCGCCTTTGATGGCATTCTCCCCAGTTTAGCTAGAGTGCTTTTGCTCGCTAAGGAGGAAATGCATCTTTGGGGTTTTGCTGGGGCCGAGGTCTTTCTGTCAGAATAGGTTTCGTTGAGTTTGGTCAAGGTTGGTGTATTTATAACCAAAGGCGTGAGCGAATGTAATCTAGTTTCCTCTGTGTACGTGCATGTGTGCCTGTGCTCTTATCCCTCCCACGCGTCTTCGAGAAAAAGAACTCATAAACTGAAGTACTTAGTCTAAACTTTCCTTTTTCATATTTGTTTGTTGGCACATTGCGTTATATCTTGCTTACTTTCAACGAGCTGCCCAAATCGTAGTCACCAACCATAAGATAAATGTGAGGAACAATGGCACAAACAAGAGCTCATTTTAGTTTGGCTGTTTGTAAAGAAATCCTTTGTTGGCTTGTCGCTCTAATTTTCTTTGGTGGTTGATTGTTGACGCGAGACTTGTTGATTTCAGTTTTGGAGGTGCTTCAGGACTCGGCAGTGTCTAATACTTTACAAATTTGCGGAGGTTCAATTTGCGGAGGTTCAATGAGGATTGTCTGACTCCAAATGTTAGGTGTATATATAGGCCAACTTTTTAGTTAATTCCTTCCCTTTTTCTCGATACCTGTGTGTATATTATACGAGAAAAGGAAGAAAGTAATTTTGTCATATTTTTAGCTAATGGTTGTAATTATTGTTCAGATGTTGCAAAATTCATTCTTTGGTGGCCTGGGAGAAACTAGTCTAGCCCTATAAACTTTACAATTGTTTAGGCGCCTTGTAACTATAAATGTTTTTAGCGTTTGATACATTTTTCCTTGTGGGGCTGACCTAACAACAAATGATGATGGCACTATCTGCTGCCTATCTGACTGTTGTTTGGGTTCCTGCTTGAGCATTGCCATTGTAACGAGGAAGTGATGTAAAAGCTCGTGCTGCTATGCTAATGAAGAGGTTTCCTTTCCATTATTACACGTTGAGTCCGATTGCTTTGTTTACATGTTCTCGTCTCCATTCAGACTGAAAGGCAGTGGCTCGTTCAGTTGTAAGGCATGAAGCCTTCTTTCCGTTGAGAATTTTAATATCTTTTTTTTTCTCTGCTGAGACAGGATTGTAATATAGTTCTGGGTGTACTTGCTCCAGAGAGTAGCATCTCTTATTTTTTGCAGTAAAAATGGTTTGTCCTGTTCAAGTATGTAGAAACGAGAACAAGAATGAATTGAAGTATGTGTTTTCCATTGATTGAGTTGGGTTTAAATACAGTAGTTGCAGGAATCGGCCGGCGACGCATCAGGGGACGTCTGTATAGACTATCTCTGATGGAGGATTTGCGAGTTAGAAATAACAAACAGAAAAAAGATACAAAGATATCCGCTTTAGGGTATGTCCTTCATTTTTATTTTTATTTTTATTTTTATTTTACAATTTAGACAATCAGCTTTTCTGGCAGAGGTAAAACTGTTTTGAAAAACATTTAGCAAAAATGACACCATGGACAGTTTTGTAATAATTAGTATTAGGTTTGTGAGGAGGAGCCGTGATAAGCCGCGTCTAGCATGGCTAAGACTTTTTGCTCCTAGCGCCTTGCTAAATGGGCATCTATAAATCAGCTCCTCGCAAAGAGGCAGGAGGAACCAAAGCCAAAAAAAGCTAGCTTCTTTCACTTCTAAAAAACTCAATACAAATTATTACAAAATTGCTATGGAGATATTTTTATCAAACTTTTTTCAAAATGTCTTCAACTTCACGGGAGAAGTTGCTCCATACGAGGAGCCCGAGACTAACCAAATAGGGTTTTTATTTTTTGGCTCTAACTCCTTATAGTCCATTTGGTGCGGCTCCCGCACTAGCTCTTCCACGGGCTCTGGCATTGGAGTTGGCACAACCGCACAAAACGCAGGAAGAAGCACTTCTGGTCATGAATGGGAGGATTGTGGCCCAGTTCTCATCTAAAAAAAAGTAGCTTCGTCTTGGAGGCCGTGGCATCGGAGCCGCGCGCGGGAGGAGCCCTTTCAAATAGGTCCACGACAAGTTGTGTGGGAAGCCCTTTCAAATGGGCCCTCAATATAAAAATGGCTTTGGCTCTTCTAAACTTGTTATAAGAATCCATTTTTAAGAAGGCAGTGCTAGCTCCCGGATGTTCCGATGGATGCGCGCATCTGAACACCTGCGCAGCCTGCCCCCGTCCATTATTTTTTTCCCGCCCTGTTGCAGCGCCCGCGTGTCCGGATGACTCGCCTCGCACGCGCGGCCCGCCCTGTCCACCTCAATTCGAGGCCGTTCACCCCGCCCCAGCGCGCCCCGTCTGTTGGCCCCTAGCTCGCCGCGTCCCATTCCCCGGCGCCCGTGCCGTGCCACCATCACTCCCCGTGCCCCCGGACATACACTTGCAACATGAAATACATGCAACATATGTTTGAAACACGCGCAACATGAAACACTTGAATGAAACATACGTATAAAATAGATGAAACATCTAAAACATACACTTGCAACATACGTGTAAACATATCCAACGTCCAGATAAAACACTTGCAACTTGCAACATGAAAATACTTACTGCAACATAAGACTGAAACAGCAGAAACAGTTGGAACATATTGTTGCAGCATATGCAACATCCAGATCAGAATGCTTGCAACATATGTCTGGAATAGATAAACATTTTGAACAAACCTCTCAAGCACTTCCAACATGCCTCTGAAACACTTACAACATATGCAACATTCCCGATATACTTTTGCAACACCATATGAAACAACTGCAACATATCTCTAAAACGTCCAAAACACTTGAAACATACGCTTACAATATGCGCTTTCATCGCAACATCTCCTTGCTGATGTCGCGCATCTCGGCGGCTATGACGTCGACAATGGCCACGACGTGGCGCGCAGTGAGCTGGAGCGGGCACGGCGATGGAGGGGCACAACGCGGGATGGAGCGCGACGCTGGATGGGGGAGCCGCGCGGCACGGGATGGGGTGCGCGGCAGGGAAGACGGCAGCAGAAAGCGCACGACACAGTTGCACGCGATGGGTAAGCACGGGAGTAGGAGATATTTTTCTAAAGAGATGGGGGAGATGCATAGAGAAAGCAGGCTTGTTGAGTCGGTAGCGCGCAGGCAAATGGAC